CACTTCGGTCTGTAGTATACTTCCTAGAGGACAATCACAGATGTGGCGTTCCCGTGCACGGAAACCAACCGACAAGAGCGCTTGGGCCTTGCAAAGTAAGCTGCTGAGCTGCAGATTTTTTTCTCTTATCAGGCTGTTGTCTGGCGCCCTCTCATCTGTAGCGCTCTCTCGCCTCATACTCTCCTCTCCGCGCTTAGTCTCTCATTCCCTTAGCACAGCCGATTAGGAAGGTGAGTGAGCCCTTAACCTAAGCGTTTTCGACGGATTCTTTCCTTTTTTCTTCACTGCCGGCCCACTTCGCACCAATACATTCGCATTCGTGTGCAAGAACCACACCAATGTATCCTGGGGCATGCCTTTAAGGATCCACCGATCCCTCGAGAACGTGGAACGCCCCAAAAACCACCTTCTTGCCTAAACACGGGGCCTTCCAGGCCGTGCCTCGCTTATTACGATTTTGATAATGTAGGGGGCACCTGCATGGAACACAGAACTAGACGAATCGTTTTTTTCTTGAGTGGCCACTAACTGCCCAAAAACCGGGTGGGAAAATTCAAGGGCCGCACCTTTTTGACACGAGTTTTTTTTTTCGAAGATCTAGCGGTTACTCGTGTTCCTGATTGTAATACTATCTCATCCATTGCTAGCCACAGGTACCGTTTTGCAGCATCGTGCAAGCGTCTATCAAAAATGCAAAACTTTGTCACCTCAGGGATTCGTACCATTAGTACCCTGTGAGTAATGGAATCCTTCTTTTGCTCCAATCGCAAAATTTCTCCTTTTTTGACGTTTAGAGGGCCAGTCAGGAAATGTGGAGCATAGTTCTATGCTCCGCACACATATCCCCATATCCCCATATATGCAAAAACACTTCTTGAAAGGAAGGGTACAATGGAAAAGACCTCCCTCGCAATATAGATTGTGTAGGAAGTAGGAAGAATGCAATCGCAACGAACCTGCCACTTCTATGGGAACGAAATCCATCGATCTAGCCGAAATCACCAGTTTTTGCAGTTTATCGGCGGGTAAATCAGTAGAAGAATCGTACCTGAAAAATGTAGTTCTTTAGGTATAAGCTACATATGAAAAGTTGATATTTTGATTTACCTGAGATCTACCGGTACCTTACCACCTGTTCGAACATGACCAAACGGAGTTTCTGATTTTCGACTACCTCCCCAGTTTTCGTATAATACATCTTCTCCTATAGATTCCTAAAGGAATGGAAATAGGAGGAAAAAGAAAAAAGGAAAAAAGGAAAAGGATTGGCAGCCTAAGGAAAATATTGCAGTTTTTAAGAAAAAATCTATCATTAAACTTACCCTGAGCACATCTTTCCAGTTTTCACCAAGGATTTTGATTTTCTGTTGAGTTTGTTTTGCGAGGCACGGCGATACCATTCCC